CCAAGGCCCTTATTGTTATCCAGTCATTTTATCCTCACAAGACCCAGTTGGGTCTTGGAGAGGGATTTCTCCTATTTCATAGTTGAGAAAATAAGCTTGAAGAGGTCATGGTCGTGTACCAGTTTGGGCCCAAAATAAAACAGAGAGGAAACAGTGCCCCCAGGAACTCTGTTCACTCCCCTCCCCTCCCTGCAGGCCTCGGCCCCACTGGGGTTATGGACAGGAGCTCTGGCTGTCCTGCGGATCCTGCGAGGCTGTAGCCGCAGCCGCCGGGTCTGTGTCCGTGTGCACCTGGCCCAGCCCTTCTCCCTACAGGTATGCAGCCTGACGGGTAAGGCTGGGAGTTCCTGGGGTCTGTCCCCTGGCTTCTGGCAGCCTGGCCCTCAACGCCCTCTGCAGGGATAGCCTTGCCTACCTCAGGTGGGCTGTGTGCAGGTTTCCTGGTCGGCCCGGGTCGGCCACCTAAGAGCCTTGTCCTGGGCAGGAATACACCATCAACGCCAGAAGCTGCTGGGGCAGCAGGCAGACCCTGGAGCAGCTGCTGCAGCCCATCGTGCTGGGCCAATGGTAGGGGCATGGGCGTGTGTGGGTCTCAGGGACAGGGCAGGTAGCCCTCTATCGACCCTGCTTGTAAGCTGGCATCCCTTTCCCCCATCACCAGCTCCTCCAGCCTTCCCTCTCCAGTTATCATCCATGGGTCATCTAGAACAGTGCCAGGCTCCTTGCCTGTAATCTGACTGTGGGACATGGCACACAGGCCTGGAAGGGGCTAGAGTTACATGAGCCATCGCTTGCCTTGGGGGTGGGGATGGGGAAACACCCTCACCTTTGAGAAAGCTTGGCTTCCCCAGAACTGTTTTTAGGTTTGGTCCTTTCAACCTGTGATCTGTGCCTCTATCCCAGCACTGTTGTCCCAGACATGGAGAAGGAGCAAGAGTGGACTGTAGCATCTGGGCCCCTTCTGGCACTCAAGGAAGAGAACCAGCTTCTGGTCAGGAGGCTGAGCCGTCATGTCCTGAATGGTGAGGGGATCTGGGCCTTTTAGGGGAGGCTCCTGAGTAGTCCTTCTACTAGGTCAGCCAGTCATTGGGACCCTCCATTCCAAACGGGTTTCTGCACCTTATGCCCACTCCTGTGTGGTCCACTTGGGACATGTGAAGAGGAATGGAACCTTCCCTGGCCCTGGGGAGGAGCCAGGAGCCAAGGGAGAACAGGAGGGAGCCACTACTTGAGTGCACACTGGCTGGCTAAGCCATGGAGGGTTCACTGTGCAGGGGGCAGATGGCTGGATGAGCCACCTACCCAAGGCCATACCTGGTCCTGCCTTAGGTTCATCACCTTACCCCTTAGCTGTAAATGAGGATGTCAACTGCACGGAATTATGCATGTAAGAGATTGACTTAAGAGAACCCTCTAAACCAGACCCTAGGTTAACTGAATTCTCTTTATTACTTTTTTTTTTTTTAATGTTTTATTTATTTCTAGGAGAGAGAGAGAGACAGCATGAGCAGGGGAGGGTCAGAGAGAGGAGTCACAGAGTGAAACAGGCTCCAGGCTCTGAGCTGGCAGTCAGCACAGAGCCCGACGCGGGGCTCGAACCCACGAACCGCGAGATCATGACCTAAGCGAAAGTCGGACGCTTAACCGACTAAGCCACCCAGGCGCCCCCTCTTTATTACTCTTCTTGAGTGCCCTGTCTGTGGCAAAGACTAGGTTGATGAGTGGGCTTGTGAGAGGCAGGGAATGTCCCTGAGCTCTCAGCATGTATTTGATAAATGTTGGTTCTCCAGAGGGAAGGGCAGCGCTCCAGGACCAGGCTTTCTCTCCCCTTGTGTGTGGGGTTGTGGCTGCTGCTAGGGGGAGGGAGGAATGGTTTTTTGGGTTTTCTTTTTTAATGTTTATTTTTGAGAGAGACAAGAGTGTGAGGGGGAGGGCAGAGAGAGGGAGAAACACAGAATCAGAAGCAGGCTCCAGGTTCTGAGCTGTCAGCACAGAGCCTGATGTGGGGCTCAAACTCCCGAACTGTGAGATCATGACCTGAGCCCAAGTGGGATACTTCACCAACTAAGCCACCCCGGCACCCCAGGAATGTTCTTGACTAGGAAGACTTGCCGGGGTGATGGAGGGACTAGGCTGCTGGGCCTCAGGCCCTGACCAGCATTCACATCCCCCTCTCACTCCGGCTCCAGCCAGCGTGACAAGCTCGGCAGTGATGAGCACGGCCATCATGGCAACACTGCTGCTCTTCAAGCACCAGAAGGTAGGGGACAGAGTAGTCCGGGCTGGGGGAGGGGGCGTTCCTGTTTTCCTGTTCATCTCCTATATTGTCCACCCCCCACCCCCCACCCCAGGGTGTGTTCCTGTCACAGCTCCTGGGGGAGTTCTCATGGCTGACCGAGGAGACGCTACTGCGTGGCTTTGACGTGGGCTTCTCTGGGCAGCTGCGGTGCCTTGTGCAGCACACACTGAGGCTGCTACAGGCGCATGTGACCCTCCTACGTGTCCATCAGGGGGACCTGCTGGTAGTTCCTCGGCCAGGCCCCAGCCTCACACACCTGGCACACCTAAGTGCTGAGCTGCTGCCTGCCTTCCTGAGCGAGGCTGTGGGTGGTGAGTCCCCAGGGCTTGGGCTGGGTGGGGCGTGTGTAGGGGTGAGGGAATGGCTTCCTTCCTCATCTGCGGCCCTCTCCTCTCCAAGCCTGTGCTGTTCGGGGGCTGCTGGCAGGCAGAGTGCCACCTGAGGGACCCTGGGAGCTACAGGGCATTGAGCTGCTGAGCCAGAACGAGCTGTACCGCCAGATCCTGCTACTGCTGCACTTGCTACCACAGGACCTGCTGCTGTTACAGGTCAGCCTCCCCGACTTGGTTGTAGGAAGGGGTCCAGGGCTCATGCCTGCCCAGTTCATCCCCCTAAATCTGCCTATGGCAGGTCTCTGCCCTGCTTCTGGCCAGGCTCCATGAATGCTTTTTCTCCTCAGCCCTGTCAGTCTTCCTACTGCTACTGTCAAGAGGTACTGGACCGTCTTATCCAGTGTGGGCTCCTGGTTGCCGAGGAGGTAGGCAGAGCACGTGGAGACAAAGCCTGGCTGCCTCCTCACACCTGGAGTGACAGCTTCCCCAGGGTCTTCCTCTGCCCCGGCATGTTGTGGGGGCGGGCATGTCCCTGGCAGATAGGGAGGCCTGGGTCCTGCCTCTGCTCTTCTTTGCCTTGGATTTGCCACATCTTCCCTATCATGACAGGCTGGACAGCTGTGCCTCTGAGGTTCTCTGCATACCTCCTGGTCCCCCCCCCAATGTCCACAGAACTGTGGTCCTTGAAAGTCAGTGCTCATTTCCTCTCACCCTGCAAGTTAGCTAAGCAGGTGCCACAGTCTGGTGTGGCCCTGGGGTCTTCTTGGGCTCCCTAGGTCTCCTTTTCTGGTTTCAGTCCCTATATGCCTGGTCTGCTATGGAACTGGTCTAGGGAAGTGGGAGGCTCAGGGCTGAACCTGTTAGGGACCAATGACACCCATGGTCCTCAGACTCCGGGCTCCAGGCCAGCCTGTGACACAGGGCGACAGCATTTAAGTGCAAAGCTGCTGTGGAAACCAAGTGGAGACTTTACAGATAGTGACAGCGATGACTTTGAGGAGGCTGAGGGCCGGTTCTTCAGGGTAAGCTGGGGGAAGCCGGAGTGGGGAGAGAGGCTGGCAGGCAATGGGAGCTGCCCTCATTCTGGTCTGTCCCCCTCTAGCTCAGTCAGCAGTCACGCTGCCCTGACTTCTTTCTCTTCCTCTGCCGCCTGCTTAGCCCGCTGCTCAAGGCCTTTGCACAGGCTGCCACCTTCCTCCACCAGGGACAGCTGCCTGATACAGGTGAGGCCCACACTTCCCGGGCCCTCCACCGAGGGAGGCTGGAGCTCAGGGCAGGGGCCCCAGGCCTAGGTCTTCTCTCTCCCACAGAGTCGGGCTACACTGAGCAGCTATTCCAGTTCTTACAGGCCACTGCTCAGGAGGAAGGATTCTTTGGTGAGTCCTAAGCAGCCAGCCCAGACTCCTGAAAGCGGGGGAGGGTTTGCTGGTGGCTGCTGCCCCCTGCTGGGCAGTGACAACTACAACTCCAGGAAGGAGGGGCTGCAGAACAGAGGGTCTTCACATCTAGTCTGAGCCCTATTTTTGGTTACTTCCTTCTCAACACAAGAGAAGCCTATGCCCAGTGGTTCCCTGCCCCTCCTTATAGCCTTTACTTCTCTCTTCCTTCCAGAATGTGTAGATCCAAATCTTGCCATCAGTGCTATCTGGACCTTCAGAGACCTGGGGGTAAGAGGGACCAGTTTCACCATCCTCCTACCTCCTGTCCCTTACCCCTGTGACCGCGGCTCAGGAATGCCTAGCTGGGATGTAGCTGGTGTCTCCCAAGAATAGATGTAGTGACAGTAGTTGGAGAAGGTAGGTTTTCCCGACCCTCCTGGTCTCCTAAACCCCTCTCCTCCTAGAAGGGTTAAGAGGCAGCACTTGTACTCAAACGCTAAGGCCCAACGGTCCCCAGTTCTCACTGCAGCTTGCTGAGGGCCAGTCACAGCCTCTGTGGTGGGCACTCACAGCCCTTCTCTGTGGTGCAGGTGCTGCAGCAGACACCCGGCCCTGCAGGCCCCATGCTCTACCTGTCCCCTGCATTCACCAGCTGGGAAAACCAGGAGAAGCTCGAACAGTTCATCCGGCAGTTCCTTTGTAGCTAGAGCTGTGGGATAGAGCCCATGCGGAGATTTCTCAGCCCCAGATCATAGCCATGCCCTGGAGCCAGAAGACTGGAAGGAGGCTCCACACCCTTACCTGAACTCTATATAAAATCTTTTGTTTCATTGGCCCTTGCCGACTCTTGTATTATCCATCCTTTGGTGTGTTAAGCAAAGGGACTGGACTTTTCCCAAGGCCAGAAGTATCTGCTCTCTTCTTCCCCCTAAGAATGCTCTACCTTGGTTCCCCGAAGCCCTAAAAGATAAACTGTAGTAGAAGCCAGGCTGCTGCTTTGGGCTGAGAATTTTATTGAAGGGCTCCATCCCTCTCCCTCCTGGGCTCCTCCCTGTGATAGGCAGGCATGGATGCTCCCACCTCTTAAGTCCAGGGCTCGTGGTAAGATCCGTCACACCACCCTGTTGATCAGGACGCCTAGTTCTTCGATTTCACACTGAACTTCATCGCCCTTCTGCAACAGCAGGGCATGAGGACATCAGTCCTTTGGTCTCTGAGGCCTGGATTTCTCAAGGCTGCCAGGAATTCTGGGTGTTTGTTCCCTTTCCTCCTTTTAGTCAACCTACCTTGAGAAATACTGGAGGTTTCCTGAACACACCAACACCTGGGGGCGTCCCAGTCAGGATGACATCCCCTGGGTAAAGAGTCACGAACCTGGGGCAAATGGGACAGGTGAGACCAGGGGCTGAGGTGGCCACAGCCAGGACTGGAAGGCTCAGCTCAATCTCAGGTGGGTGTGTGAGGTAGGGCCCCATGCTACTTACTGGGAGACCCAGGCTATCAGCTCTTCAGTCTTAAACACCATCTGGTTGGTGTTGCTGCTCTGGACCACCTCCCCGTTCACTCGGCAGCAGATCTTTAAGTTGTGTGGATCTAAAAATGCAAAAGCACCACCTTAGAGTTCTTGTTTTCCCTCAAACCCCTCCCTTTACTCAAAGCAAATGCAGAGGGAGGCTTTGTGACTTGCCAGATGAAAGGTCTGCTAGTCTCCTTGCATATGTTCTTGGCACTTTATGCCCACCCAGACTCAGCGGAACTTTATGGACACATCAGAGCTCCGTGTATCTACCACCTAGAAGTGTCTGCCTGGGTGAGTTTAGGAGGGGATGTCCCAGACCCTCAAGTGGGAGAGAAAAATGGCTGTTTTTGCCTTAAATGGACATCTGTCCACACCAGAGGCTGACAGCTGCAGATACAGAAATGACGTGGTATCTGTAACACAACAGGGTAACAAAATAGGCAGGGGACTCCTGCATCTGGCAGCAGGGACAGCTTACCTGTACTAGTGCCCTAATGGGCACTTTTTTTTTTTTTTTTTTTGCCTATACACTCACACTCCTTAGAGCAACTGGAACACAGTTTCACTTCACTGATGACTGGCTGCATCAGGTGGTATAAAGCTGGACTGCATGGACACACCCCCACCCAGATGGCTGTGTTCTGCCCTCTTAATCACAATGCCCTTGCTGCTTAGAACTGGTGCCACCCTGGTAACACTGGCTGCGGAGGTCCTGGTGGTGCTCTCACCTCTTCCTTACTGTGGAAAAGGCACAGGCTTTTGACAGCCATTTTCTGATGCTCAACAGCTAACTTTTGCTTTCCAACCTAAAGACGCTCCTGGATTGTGGCAGCTACAGGGAGTTCCACCTCTGCATGAGGGACATGGAAGGAGGCCTGTGCAACTCATGGCCTAGGCTGACTCGCTCTCTAAGGAGTCAGCCAAAGGCACCTCCAGCTTCTGAGTGCTGCTTTTCATTTAGTCTGCTGTACCCATGCAAGAGCAGGAAGAGTCCCCACATGGGGTATCCAAGACCTACCTGCTATACTGTCCTTGGTCACCAAGGCAGGGCCCAGGGGGCAGAAGGTGTCAAAGGTTTTTCCCAGCAGCCACTGCTTTCCATTGCGTCTCATTTGCCAATCACGAGCACTTACATCGTGAGCCACGGTGAAGCCGGCCACATGACCCATGGCATCTGTGGCCTTTAGGGGATGGGATTTGGCCAGATTGGAAGTTAGATCATCATGGTGACACCAACCCCCATAACAAAATGTTAGTAGCCAGAGCTAGCCAAAGATGGGCAAGGAATAAGGCAGGAGCAAGAAGTTGGTAACGGTTTCCCAAGGCCAGAGACCACTCGCACCTCCTCTTCCACCTTACCTTGACGTGCTTGCCTTTCTTTCCAATAATCACAGCCAGCTCCACCTCCCAGTCCACCTCCTGAAGAGAAAGAAGCAGCGGGCTGCTTGGCTCTGGGGCCAACTCCCATGCTGAGGGGTCACACCATGTGCCTCCAGGCCTGGGTCTCTAACAGTGGGGTCTGGCTGCGGGCCCACATTTGTTAATCACCATGAAGTAGATGGAGTGAAGGGGGGGTGGGGAGGTGTGGCTTATAGACCCATAGTCTTTGGGCAGTGGCAGGTAATCCCACTCCATGCAGGCACGGCTCTCCACTGTGACCATAGAAGGCAAGGAGTCTGAATTTACAAGTCACTTGATACTTTTAAAAAAGGATGAATACCAAGTAATAACAGCTAACCCTACTGTGTGCCAACAGCAGTCTACATGCTTTTGAGTATTACTCATTTAAATGAAAAGAAATGGGCATGGCCACAGAAAATGGAAAACATGCTCAGCCTTTCCCACAATTTGCAAAGTGCAACTATAAAATAGATACAACTTAGCCTTTCAAACTGGTTGCTCTTTCTAACATTAACAACCAGAGTTGCTCTGACACCTGATCTTGGTCTCTAGTATTGCTTCCCACTAGACAGAACTGGGCACCTTAAGGGAAATGGAGAACTCCAGGCCTGAGACAGAATACAAGATGAGCCTAAAATATCTTGGCCAGAGCAAAGAAATACTCAAAAAGTGACAGGGATGGGACCAACTTGAAGTCCCCCACTGGCCAAACTGAGACTATTTGAATATCAAACCGAATCTAAGTGATAGATTACAACATACTGGGTAGAAATAAAAATCAATACACAGTGCTACTAAAGGGATAGGAGTAAAAAAAAAAAAAAAAGGGGGGGGGGTTGGGGTGGGAAGGCAGCTTTTCTTCACAGAATGCCAGCTAGTAAGAGTAGAAGGCATGACAGAAAAATCACCTTTTATCTAACCCCCTAATACAATAATGGATTCAGGTGAGGATCACTGGATGAAAAGTTATGGGGCAATAAGATCATCACGGGATCTCAAATTACTACCTTATAGACTGCTTATTAATTACCACAGTGAAATGCACCTTTCCAATGAAGAGATCTAGTGAACATCAAGTAAGCCAAGTGATCAAATGTTGGCCTCCCAAGGGCGCCTGGGTGGCTCAGTTGGTTAAGTGTCTGACTTCAGCTCAGGTCATGATCTCCCGGTTTGTGGGTTTGAGCCCCACGTTAGGCTCTGTGCTGACAGCCAGCTCAGAGCCTAGAGGCTGCTTCGGATTCTGTGTCTCCCTCTCTCTCTGACCCTCCCCTGTTCATGCTGTCTCTATCTCTTTCTCAGAAATAAAAAAAAATTAAACAACAAAAAAAGTTGGCCTCCCAATGGAGTGCAGTGCACATCTATTGCTACAGACTGCATATTCATATGTTGAAACCTAATCCCCGATGCAATAGTGTTAGGACTAGGTCATGAAGACAAAGCCCTCATGAATAGGTTTAGTGCCCTTATAAAAGAGATCCTTGTCCCTTCTGCCATGTGAGGAAACAGCAAAAAGACGGTAGTCTATGAACCAAATGTATCGGCACCTTGATCCTGGACTTCCCAGCCTCCAGAACTGTGAGAAATAAACTTGGTAAAAGCCACCCAGTCTGTGATACTCTGTTGCAGCAGTCCAAATGAACTATGCAGAATACCTGACAAAAATGTTTAACTTAAATTTAATCATGAGGAAACCCAACAAATCCAGAGCGTAGGATATGCTATGAGAACTTGCGAGGATCCTTCAAAAATTCATTGTCATGAAAGCTAGAAAAGGGCAGGGGGACTGTTCAATAGCAGAAGTCCACAAACTATGGCCCACAGGCTGCATCCAGCTCACTGCCTTTTTATAAATAAAGTTTTCCTAGAAACAGCCATATTCACTCATTTATGTATCAGCCACGGCTGCTTTCCCATGACAGTGGCTAAGTTGAGTTGTTCCAACAGACACGCTATAGCGTTCAGTCTGTTATTTACTAACTGACCCTTTGAGAAAGTCTGTGGATCCCTGTTTAAAGGCCGAGAGAGCTAACCAAGTACAATGTTTGGCCTTGACTAATCCTGGTTCAATAAAAAATAAAAACATACCCAAATTAGATATCATCTTTGGAGACAATTGGGAATATTCTCATTTGGACTATACAATGGGCATTATGTTAATTTTCTGAGTGGTGACAGTGGTTATTATGGTCACGTAGGACACTGTACTTACTCTTGGAAGATGCATGCTAAGTTTTATTATTTTTCTACAATTAAGGTGCACTATTTTTGTAATCAGTAAAAGATGTTTCTTTTTTTCCTGAGACCAGCCTCAGCGTATAATCCCCAGTAGTGTCTGCTTAATGCACTACTAAGCAATAGGTGGCTCCTTCAGGCCAGACGCTGAGTGCTGAGCACCCATGCGCTGGGCCCCAGTGACTCAGGAGGGCAGTGAGGAAGGACACACTGACCTGGCTCTCTGGGGGGAGGATGATCTCGTCATAGGGCCCCACGATGGAACTGGGAAACTTGCTGAAGATGATGGGCTCCTTGGGCACAGGAACGTTCTGCTCTTTGCAGTGGTCCACATAATTCATTCCCACACATACCACCTTGTCTGGCCGTGTGACGGGGGCCAGGAAGGTCACCTCTGACCGTGGCAGGACTGGCAACTGGGCAGCCAGAGCGCTGCAGAGACAAGAGCAGGAGAGAGGGACTGGTTGGGAGCAGGCCAGCAACCCTTGGGCAGGCTGGGCAGGTACTGCAGCAGCTACAAGTTTTACTTTTTAAAAATATATTTTCTAGGGGCGCCTAGGTGGCTCATGCGTCTGACTCTTTTTCAGCTCAGGTCATGACCTCATGGTTCTTGAGTTCGAGCCCTGCAGTGGGCTCCATGCTCACAACTGGAGCCTGCTTGAGATTCTGTCTTCCCCTCGCTCTCTGCCCCTCCTCCACTCTTGTGCACAATCTCTCTCAAAATAAAAATATATATTTCTAGATCTATTGATCATCACAATCAATGTGCAAATCAAACCCAGCTACGGCCCGTTGATACCAGAACACTGTTTATTTTTATCTAATGTTGATTTACTCTCCCCCATTAGACAATACATGTCACGTAAAGGAATTTAAAAAGTGCAAATGGGAAGAATGGAAAGGTTTCTCTTCTGCCCCTTCTAGTCACCCTGCTCCATACTTGGACACTGTAGCTCTTCATGGCTTTTCTATGTGTGCTCTGCTCCTCCCGTCCTTTTTTATGCAAATGACACCAAATATACCTTTTTAAAAACTTTTTTTTTTTTTTTTTTTGGAGGGACACATAGGTGGCTCAGTTAAGCATCTAATTCTTGATTTTGGCTCAGGTCGTGATCTCACGGTTCATGAGTTCAAGCCCCGCGTTGGGCTCTGTGCTGACAATGTCCCTCTCTCTGCCCCACCCCTGCTCACATGGGTGCATGTGCACTTTCTCTCAAAATACATAAACTCAATAATTAATACATATTTTTTTGGAGATCTCTTCATAACCGTATATACCTTCTCTTTTTTCACATGGCTGTGTATACTTGCACAGTACAGATACATCCAATTACCCGATGAGGGATACGGAAGTGTTTTTTTTTTTAATTAAAAAAATTTTTTAATGTTTATTTTTGAGAGGCAGCGAGACAGAGCAGGTATGGGGGAGGTACAGAGAGAGAGGGAGACACAGAATCCAAAGCAGGCTCCAGGCTCTGAGTTGTCAGCTCAGAGCCTGATGTGGGGCTCGAACCCACAAACTGTGAGATGATGACCTGAGCTGAAGTCGGACACTCATCTAAGCCACCCAAGTGCCCCTCTTTTTTAATTTTTAAAAATGTTTTATTTATTTATTGTTTTTGAGAGAGAGAGAGAGAGAAAGAGAGAGAGAGAGAGTGTGTGTGTGTGTGTGTGTGTGCGTGTGAACAGGGGAGGGGCAGAGGGAGAGGGAGACACAGAATCCAAAGCAGGTTCCAGGCTCTGAGCTGTCCACACAGAGCCTGATGTGGGGCTCAAAGTCATGAACTGTGAGATCATGACTTGAGCTGAAGTCGGATGCTTAACCAACTGAGCCACCGAGGCTCAGTAATTTCTAATCTTGCAAGACTACGACAGTATAGGAAACATACTGTTACCAACACTGTGTGCTGTCAAACATTTATATTTTTGCCAATTTAATATGTAAAAGTAACTCCAAGTGGTTCTTAATTTACTTAATTTCATCAAATTCCATATGGACCCTGGCTTTGGGAAAGTTCCCACCTAGCCCAAACCCAAGAACTATCTTTAAGAACACCTCTTTGCAGTCCTCTCTCCTTCAAGGAGCTAAGAGTCCAAACATTCCCCCAGCTTCCCAAGATGCCTCCTACGACCCCAGGTCCCAGACTCCTCAGGCAGACAGGAACTTAATACCCTGGGGAAGGCAGGTGTGATGAAGCAGTTCTGGCTCCACCGCCAGAAGTGTGGCCTTGGGAGAGTTAATCACCATCCCTGGGCCTGAGGAATTTGTCATACAAGATTTCTAAGGCTCTTCACTAAGAGAACAGGTGAGAAAGGAAAGGTAGAGTTACCCTACTCACTTGCAAAAGAGTTACCAGCTGCTTCTGCTTTCCAGGGCTGGGATGGGGTGGAATGATGGAGAAGGCAGCAGGACAGCCATTATAGGGCTATGCCGCCTGCTGATTTACCTTCTTGCCACCGAGAGGGTGGCCTCTCCCTGCTCCAGGAACTCCATCATTGTCTTGGGCAGTGTGGGGTCAAAGGCGTTGAGGTTGATGACCCCCCCACCATTCCCTGATTCCAGGCCCATATGAGGTCCCATCAGGTGGGGTGCCTGGAACTGCACCAGTCTCATATTTCTGGAGGGTTGAAAGGGCCACTTCTGAGCCTGCAGCAAAGCTGTGAGCAACCTTCTACAAGAGACCAGCATCAGAACCTGTGAAGAAAAAATTAGGTCCTAGGGGACAGAAGGAGCTGAAACCACCATCAAGATCCACAAAGTTCCCTGAGCTGCAGCCCAAGCCCTTTTATCCATCAGCCATTCCCAGAACACCACCCTAGAAGTAGTCCACATGTATTAGTTATTTCACTGTTACACTTTATAAGGTGACCTTCCCCCCCTCCCCCAATTCAATGCATGTAATGAAACATTTCTAGAGGAGTGACTACTTCATGCCAGGCACTAATCTAGATAGCAGGGATTCCAGTGTTCCTTCAACCAGTGCTTTCTACAGGTTTACACTGTACCTGGCATCTCTGAGGCACTGGGCAAACAGTACAGATCAGACACATTCAGTCCTGCCATCCTGCTCTCAGGGGAGACGGATACGAACAATGATGTTTTAAGTAAGATCCAGCAATTGGAACCACTGCTATGAAGATAAGGGTCCCGCCTTAGTCCAGTTTCTCGAAGAAGTGATACTGAGCTGAGCTGGGCTGGGCTTAAAATAAGCAGGACTAGAAATTAGTTAAGAGTGGGGCCCAGCATGGGCAAGTGACCACTAGTAAAACGGGCTTCACAGCTGTCATAGGCAAATTTTTAAATGCCAGTTTGATCCTATTACCCTCCTACTGAAAATGTTTTCCACTGCTCACACTACGAAGCTAAAACCCCTACCAGGCTACCCCAGCCTTCTAGAAGCAACTCCCATGAGCCTCTCCAGACAGTAATTATTCAGTTTCTCCTGCTGAATTACAGGCTACCTGAGGGAAGAGACTGCAGACAAAGGGCTGGGCCTAAGCCTGACAGGCATCACTGGGCTGTCTCCTCTCTGGGCTCTAGGACTACATCTGTCTTTTTCAATGCTTTTCCACAGCACTGTGCTTGGCACACAGAAGGCTCTACATTACTCTCTGCTGAATGAACAAATACCAGAAGCAGGGGCTTGACTTTACTCTCCTTGGGAAAGCTTGGTGATTGTCAATATGGCTGCCTTTCTTTCTTTCTTTCTCAAATCACTTAGAAGGTATCAACAGGGCTCAGGTCCTATTTTAAGTTCCTGGCTTTACTCAGAGGCAAACCCCATTCTCCTGTTTTGTTTTTAATCTAAGTCTGGCCTTCATTCCAAATAGTCTCTGACCTGCATGGGTCCTTGCTTTAAAATGTAGCCCTTTATAAAGCTCAGGCATGTGGAGGCAGACCCAGACTCCTGGTCCTCACCCTAATGATTCAATTTGCCACATTCCATTAAAAACTCATTAGACCCAGGTCACTGATCTAACCACTATCGTGGCCAAGAAGTTTGGCCAGAAAACCAGGAGCTTTGAAACTTCTGCCCTCCTCTCTTATACCACCATTCTACTGTCAAAAATGTGTTTAAGCCAAAATGCATGCACTCAGACCTCCATACACTGAAAAAATAGTAACTGCTCCAGCTGACTGCCAGGTCTTTATTTTAAGTGCTTTACCTAAAAGGTCTGATTTAATTCTCCTGACAATTATGGAAGGTAAGGTACAGTTAATCTCATTTTACAAATGAAAAAACTAATGCTCAGTAAGATGAAGAGATTTTCTCAATTTCCCAAGGAGAGAAAATAACTGGGACTTGAATCCAAGTCTAGCTGACACTGAAATTCTTGGCTTGGCCTAAAGTATCCTCGAGGTGATGGGGGTTAGAGCTCCAACAGGAGATCTCCAAGAGCCCCATGGACACCCTGCCTGCTGTCAGCCTGGGAAAACGTGGTCACACGCTTCAGGGATAGGGCTGGTCATAAGCATTCCAAGATAACCCCAGGCCCCACTGACTATGCCCTTATCACATAACAGGCATATTCAGGCTCCCATTCCACCCTACAGCAATCGCCTCAGGTACAAGGTCTCATTTTACAAAACGGGGCACCGAGGCCAAAGTACTGCCAAAGTACCAGGTAGAAAGTGGCCCCAAGTGCTTCTGCGGTAATCAAGATGCAACAGGGCAAGAGCTCAGTTCAACTCTGGAAAAATGTCCTTAAGCAAAGGGACAGAGATTCGAGGCAGAAACAGCACAAGCATCGCAGCCTGCCACCCACTCGCTTGGCACCCTGAACTGGTCCCCCAGCTGTGACCCTGGCACGCGGGCACTCACGAGGGCCCACCTCACCCGGTCCGTGTGGTCACAGGGGCTGGAGACCCCGGTCCGGTCCTGACGCCAGCGGGAGACCTGGAAAGAGGCTGAGACCGGCCCGGCCTCCACCCCAACCTACCTGAGTGCGGCGGCGGGTCTTGCTGAGCTCCCTGAGCTGTCGGGCTGGGACTCACCGGGTTGGGGCCTGAGGTTAGCGGGCACCTAGACACCTGCGGCGTGTTCGCAAACCGCGACCCGTGAGGAACTACAGGGGCAGTGCTCCGGGCGGCGCCACTAAATAAGACTTTAGCACGAGCGGGCGCTCCTTGGTGACGCCAGAGAACAACAGCCAATAGAAGGGCGCCTCATTCTGTCCCGGAAGCCAAGCCTCGGAGGGGGCGGGCCTAGCGCTGGAAAGCAGGTTGTCTTTCAAGGGTTGCTTTGGGCGTCTGGGCGGCCCGAAGCAGGTGAGGCCCACTGCCTTCAAGTTCTCCCCACCCCGGGCAAAATTCCGGCAGACACTCCTTGTCAGGGCGCCCTGCAACTGCACACAATGACAGGGAGTGCTTCCTGAAATTTTGCGCGCTGGGCGCCTCGCTAGCCTCCCCTGCGTCGGGCCAGGCACCGTTCTGGTTGCTGGGCAAAGTGTGGTGGAGGAGACCAAATTATGGCGTGCTGGTTCACAACGAGTATTTTTGTCTTCTGATTCTGACATGTCACAGAGAAGAGGCGGGATGGTTGCACCCATTTTACATATGTGAAACCCGAGGCGGAAGTGTTTTGCTCAAGGTGACACAAGAGTGTGAGTAGTGGAACCATCATTTTTTTTTAATGTTTTTTTTTTTTTTTCCTAGGAGAGAGAGAGACAGCGCGAACAGGGGAGGGTCAGAGAGAGAGGGAGTCACAGACTGAAACAGGCTCCAGGCTCTGAGCTGGCAGTCAGCACAGAGCCCGACGCGGGGCCCGAACCCACGAACCGCGAGATCATGACCTAAGCGAAAGTCGGACGCTCAACCGACTAAGCCACCCAGGTGCCCCAGGAACCATCATTTTTGACCCCCAAGTGCAGTCCTTTCCTCTCATTCTCAAGCAGCCCTGTCTTCACATTGTGCTGGGCCTAGGGCAGGATAGCGAGAGGCATAAACTCCAACATCAGAGAACGGGCATTCTCGTTTATAGGTGCTTTAATTACATTGGCAGTTACAATCCAGCTCTGTAGCCAGATTCATATGCTCTCTGGCATATGAAGACATATAAAGGGATCTGGGCAAGATGCCCAAGACTTCATCAAGGACCAGATCATCAAGGGCTTTACTTGTCCCAGAAGGAGTCTGAGCCTTATCTAAGCACACAGGACACCTCACAGGGGGTACCATGGTTAGACTTGCGTTTGCGAACTTCTGCTCTGGTCACTCGTCCAAGGCAAATGAGAGCAGTGGGGCAGGTGGCATGGTGTGTGGCAGCAATGGAGAGAATCCAGAGATGTTTAGAAGGTAGAACTGACAGCCCTTGATGATGACAGGAGGTGACAGTGAAGGCAGAAGGAGGTCTAAGGCCAACTCTTAGGTCTCTGGCTGGTAAATGGCTGTGCCATTCATGGAGACAGGGATTCTGGAATGGCAACAGGTCTGGGGAGAGGATGGTGAGCTCAGTTTTTGGATGGGTTGTACTTAATGTACCTATGACACATTCAAGGAGGCACTGCAGGGTGGACATGGAGACACAGGTCTTAGAACTTGGGGTTCTAGTCTAGTTGAAGGTAGAGGTCAGCATACAGATAGAAACGGGACTTGTGAGGGTACGTGTGATCAGGAGGAATGCGGTAAAGAGAGCCTGATATAAACCCCAGTCAGGAGACCCATCAGGCAAGGATCAGCCAGAAAGACTGAAGGGAAATAGGGAGGCAGGGGAACACATAACTTAGGCAAAATTTGGGGACTGCACCTTCCAAATGCCAAGGAGGGGACTTCGCCTTCTGGACAAAATGAAACAGGTGATGTTATTAAAGATCATGATCAAAAAGATAATAAGAGGATACTATGGACAAAGCTATGCACGTAAATTTGACAATCTTGAAATGGAGCAATTCTTTAAAATACAGCCTGTCACAATTCACCCAAAATGAAATAGATAATTTGGATAGCACTGTATTTATTAAGGAAATTGAATTTGTAACTTAAAAAGTCCTGAGGGGCACCCGGGTGGCTCAACTGGATAAGCGGCTGACTCTGGATTTTGGCTCAGGTCATGATCTCACTGAGCCCAAGTTGGGCTCTGTGGGGGGAACCTGGGAGCACAAAGCCTGCTTCGGATTCTCTCCCTCCCTCTCTCTGTGCACACTCACTCTCTCTCTCAAAATAAATAAACATTATTTCTAAAAACTTCTGAAAAAGAAATATCTAGTCCCAGATGGTTTCAGTGGAGAATTCTACCAAATGTTTAAAGAATGAACACCAATTCAACGTAATCTATTTCAGAAAACTGAATAGGAAGGAACACATCTCAGTTCATTTTATGAAGCTAACATCACCCTGATACCAGAAAACAAAGACAGTGCAATAAAAGAAACTACAAAGCAATCTCTCTCATGAATACAGATGCAAAAGTCCTTGACAAAATATTAGCAAATGTAAGTTAGCAATATATAAAGATAATTTTCTACCATGACCAAACAGCGTTTATTGCAGGAATACAAGGCACATTCAATATCCAAAATCTACTCAATATTAAGCTAAAGAAAAAAATCACAAAGTCATATCAATGTAGAAAAATCTGACAAACGCCAACACCCACTCATAACACATACTCTCAGAAAACTGAGAAGCGAACTTCTTCAACTTGATATAGAACATCTACCAAAAAGCCTACAGTTAATATAGTTAATGGTGGAAAACTGGATGTTTTCCCCTCAAGACTAGGGACAAGAACGCTTGTTCCTACCACCCTTATTCACCACAGTACTGCAAATTCTAGCTAGAGCAGTAAGGCAATGAAAGGAAATAAACCTATACATTGGAAAGGAAGAAAGAAAACTTGGTTGTCTTCGTAGAAAATCTGCAGGGGGAAAAAAACCCTCCTGGAAATAATAAATGAAATCAGCAAGCTTACAGACTACAAGATCAACATACAAAAATCAGTTGTGTTTGTATATACTAGCAATGAAAATGTGCATCCTGAAATTAAGAATATAATACTATTTGCTCAAATAAAAATAAATACTTAGGTACAAATCTAAACACATACAGGACTTGTATGCTGAAAACTATAAAACACTGACAAAAGAAATCAAATATCGGGGCGCCTGGGTGGCTTAGTCGGTTAAGTGTCCGACTTTCGCTTAGGTCATGATCTTGCGGTTCGTGGGTTCGAGCCCCGCGTCAGGCTCTGTGCTGACTGCCAGCTCAGAGCCTGGAGCCTGTTTCAGTCTGTGACTCCCTCTCTCTCTGACCCTCCCCTGCTCACGCTGTCTCTCTCTCTCTCCTAGAAATAAAAAAAAAAAAAGAAAAGAAAAAGAAATCAAATATCAACATAAGTAAGGAGATAAACCCTGTTCACAGATTGGAAGACTCAACGTAGTAAAGGTATTAATTCTCCACAAACTGATATACAGGTTTAACACAATTCCTATCAAAATCCCATCATGATTTTTTCTACAAAAAGACTCTTCTAAAATTTACATTGAAAGGCAAAGGAACTAGGCTATCTAAAACAAATAGCTAATTTTGCAAAAGAAGAATAAAACGAGAATAATCAATCGACCTGATTTCAAGACTTATTATGTAGTTACTGTAATCAAGATTGTATGGTACTGGCAGAGGAACAGAGATCAATAGAACAGAAAAGAGAACCCAGAAATGGACCCAAGGAAATATACCCGGCTGGTTTTGAGGAAAATACAAAAGCAATTCAACGAAGAAGGATAGTCCTTCCAACAAATGGTGCTGGAGCAACTGGGTATCCATCTCTTTAAAAATGAATCTTGGGGGGCACCTAGGTGGCTCAGTTAGTTAAGCGTCCGACTTCGGCTCAGGTCATGATCTCACTGTTCGTGGGTTCGAGCCCCGCGTTGGGCTCTGTGCTGACAGCTAGCTCAGAGCCTGGAGCCTGTTTCAGATTCTGTGTCTCCCTCTCTCTCTAACCCTCCCCAGCTCACGCTGTCGCTGTCTCTCTCTTTCTCTGTCTCAGAAATAAATAAAACATTAAAAAAAATTTTTAAGTGAATTTTGGGGCACCTGGATGGCTCAGTCGATTAGGCAACTGACTTCGGCTCAGGTCATGATCTCACAGTTTGTGAGTCTGAGCCCCACATTGGGCTCTGTGCTGACAGCTCAGAGCTTGGACCCTGCTTCAGATTCTGTCTCCTTCTCACTCTGCCCCTCCCCCATTCATGCTCTGTCTCTCAAAAATGAATAAACATTAAAAAAAAAATAAAAATGAATCTTGACCTAAACTTCATGTCTTATACAAAATTTAACTCGAGGCACCTGGGTGGCTCAGTCGGCTAAGTGTCCAACTTCAGCTCAGGTCATGATCTCACGGTTCGTGGGTTCAAGCCCTGCATCGGGCTCTGTGCTGACAGCTCAGAGCCTGGAGCCTTTTTCAGATTCTGTGTCTCCCTCTCTCTCTGACCCTCCCCTGCTCATGCTCTCGTGCTCTCTCTCTCTCACAAATAAATAAAAGCATTAAAAAAATTAAAAAACAAAACAAAATTTAACTCAAAATGGATCACAGATTTAAATTTAAAATGTAAAGTTATCAAGGTTTTATTATTTTATTTTTTAAGTTTATTTTTTATTGGGGGGGGGGGAGAGAGAATGAGCAGGGGAGGAGCAGAGAGGGAGGGGGAGAGAATCCTAAACAGGCTCCCTGTCAGTGTAGATGCCAACACGGGGCTCGATCCCATGAACTGTGAGATCATGACCTGAGCCAAAATCAAGAGTCAGGCACTCAACCGACTGAGCCACCCAGGTCCCCCTAAAATTAGCAAGCTTTTATAAGAAAATATAGGAGAAAATCTTTAAGACATATGGTTTGGTGAAAGGTTCTTAGACATTATCCCAAAAGCATAATACAGGGGAGAAAAAAAGTAGTGGACTTTATCATAATTAAAAACTTTTACTCTGCAAAAGGATGTTAGGTAGATGAAAGAACAACATACAAACAGGGAGAAAATATTTGCTAACTACATATCTGACAAAGACCTCACACCTAGGACATATAAAAAACTCACAGTATATAGACTTGTTGAATCACTATGTTGTACACCTGAAACTAATGTAAAACAGTGTCAACTATACTTCAGTT